TGTTAAGTTAGTTGTATCTTTTGTTTATGGTTAATCTATTTGGCCTTGTTTGTTTCAAGATTATTCTAGTCTGAAAAAATTATTAGCTTATTCTCATCTTATTAGTAAATTTTAAAATTTGATCTGGTTTTTTTAAATTTTAGGGTCCTGCAGCTACCCAAAAACCAAAACAAAGTTTTACATCAATTTTTTTTTAAAAAAAAGAAAGTCACGATAAGAGGAAAATAAACTTGTCTGAAATTGGGTTACTTTTATCTTATTTTGACTTATTTTTTTCTTCCAATTTTGACAATTTCAATATAGGTTGCTGTAGACTTATCAAACCTAAAAATCGAAAGGTAATCAGTTGAATCGAAAAATATCTTCATAAGATGAAAATAAGTTGATTTTCGCAGGCCAAAATATGAACCAAATTAGACCCAAATTTGACAAGTTAGAGCAACTCCAATCATACATTTTCATATTTTACTAATTCAAATATAAAAAAAAATAATTCTCTATTTTGCCTAATTACTTTCTAGAAATAGATATATAAGTTCATTTTCTAAACTCATTTTCTAGACTCAATGATGTGTAATGAAATGATTGGTTAATGATTAGAGAAGATAGAAAAAGGAGGTTTGTCATAAATATTCTATTTAATTGTTACATCATTGGGTTTAAAAAGTGTGTCCAATTTTTTGGCATGAATAGCAATGTTTTCTTCTTTTGTCTATGTATTCCAATGCTACTCTTTAGGGGGAAAAAAAAAAAAAAAGATACAATCAAAGTAGCTTTGGAACACATAGATAAAAAAGGAATTAGGAAAAATAAAGAATTAGCTTTTTTATATTTTAACTAGTGAAACACGAGGAGTATGGTTGGAGTTGCTCTTAATGCATGAATAATTATGATTTTTAAAAAAAAAAAAAATTAATGATGTGTTTTAAAAAACACATTTTTCGTCTATTTTTTTTTTAGGATAAAATATTACGATTATCAGGTTGATTTAAATTTTTTAATTGAAGTTTGTTGGTAGTTTACTTCAATGAATCATTGATCATGTTTCCTTATGTTTACAAATAGAATGAATTACACTTCATAGCCTACATTTGACATTAAATTTTCTGTTGATCTCTCTTATCCAATTGTAATGATAAATTTTTTATATTTGTAATGTAATCTTTCCATCAATCTGTGTTAAATACATTGATAGAAATGAAATGCGACCTTCACATGAATTTTTTTTAGCGAGCTTAGAAAATACAATGAAGAGAAGACAGATAGATAAAATACAGTGATGAAATTACATAAAGAAGAGCGATTTCTCAGTAATGAAATAAAGAAGAAGAAAAGGGAATAAAATTAAATTTTTACCAGAAAAATTTCCTCAAGCGAGGGTCACCTCTGCCATTTTTCATTAGCTTATGTAACAATAGACTGATGGAAGGTTGCAGTGCGCAACATGATTGAAAGTGCAAGGAATTAATCATTACAATTGAGAATTGAGGGTGAGGGTGGAATGTGTCTGTGCTATGGTGTTGGTGTGTTGGCTGCTGTTTTTGTTGGGTGTTTTGCTTCTTGGCTTCTCAGTTTGGGTTGGTCTGCCCCTATATCAGTGTCTGTGTAATGGCTGAGGGTGGTCTGAGTATGTGCTATGTTGTTGGTGAGTTGGCTGCTGGCTTCTCAGCTTGGTCTGCTAAGCTCTGTTCTGGTCTGTTGCATGTCGCTGGTTTTGAGGTGTTATGCTTCTTTTTGTTATGTTGGCTGTTTTTTTAGGTCTGTTGGTCTCTGGTGTAATCTGCTGTTGGTGTGTCCAGCATTGGTTGGTGGCTGAGTGATAGGTTGGGCTGGCTCAACCTAGGTAGCAGCATTGTTGTAGTGTTGGTCGGTTCTCCTTGTTGGTTTCTCACCAACTCAGGGGTGTTAGTAAATGATAGGATGAGTTTTTTGGTGTCAACCTAATTGAGATCATTTAGACCATTATGATACTTTTGCATTTCCCTTTTCTTTATTAATGTATCTTGCTATGTACTTTGTACTTGATTCTTTCATTAATAAAGTTTCCTTTTGCTGATCAAACAAATTTAGAATTGAGGGATTACATTGGGAATTTGGTGTTTAGAGAAGCAAAATGTATTTTTTGTGTTTGTATCAATAAAGATTTCTTATGCTAATCTAAAAAGAAAAAAAACAAAAAACAAACAAAAAGAAGTGTATTCTTTTTTGACAAATACTATTGGCGGTGATATTTTTGTAACTAAATGTCATTGTAATGAATAATTTGTTTAAAAATGCGAACTCCCTACACAAAATGTATATACTTTGTGTGTACATTGTTACGTGGTTCTTTCTGCAATACTCATCATTATTTTATTTTCCATTCATACATAATTTTTTTTTCTTTAATAATATTTTTAGGACAAGGAGGGAGAAGTTAGATTGAAGGGAATATTGGAAAAAGCGGCAATGGCGGACAAAACAGTGATAATAACAACTGTAAATGGAGCATGGACAGAACCAGGTTCTGTATTTGATCTGTTTCTTGAGAGCTTTAGAATAGGGAATCAAACTAGAAGGCTTTTGAATCATTTGGTAGTAATAGCCTTGGACCAAAAGGCATATGATCGTTGCTCAGCTCTACACCTTCATTGTTATGTTCTTAGCACCCACGGCAAGGACTTCTCTGGTGTGGTATACTTTATGAGCACTGGCTACGTGGACATGATGTGGAGAAGAATTGATTTATTACATTCTGTTCTTAAGTTGGGATACAACTTCATTTTCACGGTACACAATCTCTCTTTCTCCTTCTTTAATTTTTTTTTTTCTATTGAAAATTATTGATAGTAGAACATACTGAAATTTCAGCAATCCTATAATATATAAGCACTCGCAATCGGTAACTCGAGGGCCCCGGGATTAGTCGGGTCTACAATCGGAGCCCGGAAACCCGGTTATCAAAAAAAAAAAAAATATATATATATATAAGCACTCGCAAATATATATATAGATAGAGACGGATTTAGGATTTTCATGTAGGGTCAAACATATATATCCTAATAAAATTTTTAAAAATAAAATATCAATTATAATATCAATTTTTACTAGTATAAAAAATGAAAATAAGATGAATATATATATAAATATCATGTTTTTTTGTATCCACATTTAGTTACAAAAAATAACAACTATAAAACAATCTATTTATTAAAGTAAGACATCTTGAATTGCTGTGTTTGACAAGTTTATACCATTAAAAATGTCTATAATAAAATCGATATTAAATTCTCTTACAATGTTTTTCTCAATAAACGTGATTATGTAATTATCTATACCTTATTCAATTTTTTAAAAACATGAACTTGTAATTAACAATAGTTATACAAAAAACAACTTTTTTTTTAAAAATATTTTAATATTTTTTGTTTGTTTTTTTAATATTATATTTTGATCCTATTATTTTTATATATATACAGTCATAGTGACTTAAATTTTTTTCTAAAAGAAGAAAAACATAGATGGAATGAGTCTCTATATTATGTAAATAATTATAATTAATACTACTACAGTAAATGGCGTTTTTGAAGATATAGATATAGGGAAATTCTATATACACTTTTGGTTATGACTTTGCGGTTTTTAGTTGTAATGTATTGTGATGTTAATTATGATTCATTATGATATTAATTATGATATTATTTTAGTTATGATCCAAGAACTCTTTGGGTGTACCTTATGCAGTGTTTGATTATAATTTATTTTACTTTTTTTTTTTAAGTTATGAGTCTTATAGTGAGAATCAAGAGCGTGTACCATAGCATTATACATATCAGAAGTGATATATGCCCTTAAAAATGGAGTTCTATACACTTGGCAACGAAAAAAAAAAAAACTAAAACATCACATTACATGGGACCCAACACTCCTTAAAACTCCACTAGAACTCTTATTTTAGAGCTCTAAAACATTTTATATATATATATATATATATTATTGTTATATTGTTTAGTTCAATGACCACTCGAAGGCATTTATTGTCAGTAACCATCCAATAATAAAATACTATACACAAAGCTAAATTGTACCATCTAAATGAAGTTATTCTATCCAAATCATCCCACTACTTGACACATCTATATAATGGGATAAATCACGCTTACATAATATAATGATTGAATGACAATATCATATGCCAATAATGACTTAATATCACAATTGTAATAAATTATTTTTTCCTCATAGTTCCTCTTTGTCAGTTTTACTTGGCTTTTCCCTTTGCTCACTTTAGGAGGCTTTTGTTTTTCTTCTTACCCTTATACAACTCTGTATGTGAAGAGACATGTTTTTATACATGCATTAGGACAATTCTAGAGAGTCTTCATAATCTAGTCAATCAAGAAATTCTAAAAGAATTTGATTCGCTTTGATTCTTACATCACTCTATGGACTAGATTTCCATTATGATTCTAGAGTCCTTAGATATTTGTAAGCATAAATTAGACTTCATTTTTTGGGATTAAGTTAAAAATACAGTATCCTCTAACGTTTGATTTATAACAAAAGTTAAAAAAAAAAAAAAAAAATAGCTTCTTACTCCCTCAGTTTGCTTCTCTTCCATGGTTCTTAATAGCAGTATCAGGATGCATATCAGTATCAGTATCAATATCGGTAGTTGTGTAATGATATCAGGAGTATCGAGCGCTATGTATCGAGAATCAAACAATACGAACGTGAAATTTTGAAAATTATTCACAACTCTCCTAAAATTCAATGATAATTTTTTTTGACTAATAAATATCATTTGTCACATTTTGATGAATGTATTGATATATATAAAATCAATTTTTACTTCATAAAATAGCCAAAATAAATCAATTAGAAGATAAGTCACCGAGTTTACATGAAATATATACAATATACACATATTGGCAATATGAGTTGCCAAAACAAAGTGTCACTTAGATTTCAAAGTCAAACACTAGAGCTCACTTTTTTCTTTTGACAGCCAGACCTGCCCCACACCCACCATTATAACTGATGTGGGCCAGAGTAAATTTGGAAAAACTTGCAGGCCCACCTTAAACCCCGACTTCCACTTAAATGTAAGGGGATTCGAATCCTGATAGTAAGGAGATGAGTAAACCCCTTTTACATAAGTTTTGTCCAAAATTTATTTTGTCCCACATCGAATAACTATACCAAGCTTTGTAGTAAAAAACTTTTATAAAGAAAGGCCTAAGCGGTCGTAAAGAACACAGAGCCTAAGCTCTATGCGAGTTGGCCCACACTAAAGCCTTGGTTAGGGAAATATTTTTTATTTGCTGAATGTCTAGACGTAGTAAAATATAGGCTTTTTGTTCATTTTTACCTGTTAAGCAAGATGAATCGGCCGGTTCGTTTGCGATTTTGGTTCATAGTGGCATACCAGATAATATGCAAATTAGTTGTGTTTACGATATTGGTTCATTGTGGTATTCTGGCTAATATCCGTATCGGTCTACTGAAAATCTGGTATGAATAGGCTGGATTCAGTTGAGATATTGGTTTTGGTTCATAGTGGTATATTGGCTAGTGATATTGTATTAGTGCGCTATGCTTTGAGGGATAAGCAGGTAGATCAGAGGCCTTCAGGGCTTGTGTATGTTGTTACCATACCAGATCAGTTGCCAGCACCTTCTGTAGTGAGAGATAACAAAAATTTCAACTCTATTGCCAATATGTTGATTGATACCAATGCATGTCATTCATTCATATCATCTTTTTTTGCATCTGCTTTAGATTTGGATTTTGAATTGTTAGAGTCTTCTCTGTTAGTTGAAACACCTATTGGGGGTAAAGTGGCATTGGGTCGAGTATGCCGCTCCTGTAAGATTGAGGTCGCAAATCCTTAGCTCTATTTCAATTTTATTGTTCTTGACATGCATGCTTTTGACGTAATCCTGGGTATAGATTGGTTGACTCATTATCGGGCTTTGATAGACTGCCATTGTAGGAGGGTATCGTTGTGTACGCCATCAGGAGAGTGCTTCTATTTTATGTATGACAGAGGTGGTAGTTTTACTCCTCCGTTGTATGACCTTAAGGGTCGAGGAGAATTGAGTTTTCTTTCTGCTATCTCAGTAGCTGATGAGTGTAGTATGATTTGAGATGAATTGTCAAGAGTAGTTTGAGAGTCTCCAGATGGTTTCTCAGAGGATCTCACAAAGTTGCCACCACATAGAGAGATTGATTTCTCAATTAACTTAGTGCCAGGCATGGCTCTAATTTCTATGACACTATGTAGGTTCACACCAACCGAGTTGTGTAAGTTGACGGTGCAACTTCAGGATTTGTTAGATAAGGGCTTCATTCGTCCTAGTACATCACCTTAGGGAGCACCGACTCTTTTTTCTAAGAAAAAAGACGGCACATTGCTACTGTGCATCGATTATCGAAAGTTGAACTAGGTAACTGTTCAGAACACCATTATCATGAATAAATGACCGATTCGACCAATTAAAGGGGTCTCATTGTTTTTCTAAGATTGATTTGAGATCGGGGTGTCACCAGTTGAGGATGAAGGAGGGGGATATTTAGAAAACAACATTTCATATGCGGTATGGCCATTATGAGTTCTTAGTAATGCCTTTTAGGTTGACTAACTCACTGGCTTTGTTTATGGACTTGGTGAATTGAGTCTTTCGTGAGTTCTTAGATCGATTCGTGGTTGTCTTCGTCTATGACATCTTAGTCTACTCACCTCTCAAGGAGGAACATAAGGGACATTTATGGGTTATACCTGAGTTGCTTAGAGCACATCGATTGTATGTTAAGGTTGGGAAATGTGAGTTTTAGCTCAGTGAAGTTAATTTCCTAGTCCATATGGTGTTTGGGAAGGGATGATCGTGGATTCCTCTAAAATAGATGTAGTGCAAGATTGGGAACAACCTAAGAACGCCTTTGAAATTCAGAGTTTCTTGGGCTTAGCCGGGTATTACCGACGTTTTGTGAAAGATTTCTCTAGATTGGCCTCACCATTGACTAGATTGATGAGGAAAGGGGCTAGATTTGTGTGCAGTGAGGCTTGCAAAAAGTTGTTTCAAGAGCTTTAGGTTTGACTCACCACTGCTCCAGTTTTGATTTCCCCAAAAAGGGGTTTGGGTTACTCGATTTATTGTGATGCGTCTCGGGAAGGTTTGGATTGTGTGTTGATACAATAAGGGAAAGTGGTAGCATACGGTTCATGGTAGTTGAGGACACATAAGAGAAACTATCCCACTCACGACCTAGAGTTAGCGGCGGTGATTTTCGCCTTAAAAATCTGGAGGCATTACCTTTACGGGGAGAGATTTGAGGTGTTTTCCGATCACAAGAGTTTGAAGTATTTGTTTTCACAGAAGGACTTAAATTTGTGGTAAAGGAGATGGATGGAGTTTATGGAGGATTACAATTTTGAGTTGTATTATCATTCGGGAAAGGCCAATGTAGTGGCCGATGCTTTGAATAGGAAATCCGTAAGCAGTGTAGTTAATATCTCCATTTAGCAATGGGAGATGTTGGGCACTGTTGGTGAGTTGGACTTGTACCTGGCGAATTTGTTGAGTTGGCCCCCTTATTTACCACAATTGCACAACCTACCTTAATAAGCCGGGTCATAGAGGCATAACAAGGTAATCCTGAAGTAGAGGCTATCTGACAGGAGATATCTAGTGGGAAGGTAGAAAAAGGCTTGAATGTTTACTCTGATTCGAGTGTAAGACATCTAGAATGACTTTACGTATTTGAATCTTTTAGAGAGGAGGTACTCT